ACGCACCGGGGCAACCGGCTCTTAAGGGCTCCAGCTATTCACACGCAACGGTAAAATGAAGAGCTTCATAGGAAACAGCGAACTGAATCAAATGAACTGTGAGGTGAGGAGCTGCAAAGGGCCGCAGAGGACTGCAACAACAACTTTTGGTTGTAGGAAAAGGTCCCAGTGCCATTTGCCAGGAAGGTGGGGTGCCTCTCAATGAGCACGAGATCCTCACACTTTCTCGTGGCTTCGGCTCCTTGTTGGAAAGCGTTCGATTGCGCTATGCTGAACTTTTGCATGTGCATGCTGTGCCGAGGTCGGCATGTATTACGGGTAAGTGATGCAGCAGTGGACGCGAGTAAGCTACTGGAAGCTTTGGGGTAAGTGCTTGTGACTCCGAATGGGTCAATGAAGCTTTGGGGGGCAATGGCTGGCCCCCCATTGCCCTCATTCTGCAGTTCATGCTGCAAAACTGTCTCACCGTCAAGACTTGGTGAAACGTCAACGACTGACGTTAATTGTGCAATGCCACCAGCTCTCGGATTGATATTCTGCTTTGTGCACTCCTGTTTGGCCCCTTGAGGCACATGAGAATGATAATGTGTGCTTATATAGTGAAATCTATATAATGCGTTTATCATTTTGGTGGCCGCACCTTCCCCAGCTTGGTGCAAGATGCACTAGCCACTGACGGACGCAGAAGGAAGTAGATAGAATGCTCACGCCTTTGTTCCTATACATAGATGCACAAACACAAAGAGCTGTACACATAATTTTTTCATAGTTAGTTTTTCCATATGCATCAGCATGCTGCACTGACTCACTGACCAGCAGCTGCGCAAATTATTCTTCAAGAGCTGCACACACCTTCTGTACGGGGAAAGGCGTAACATGCCTCATGCAATCAGACAAGCTGATTGGATCTGGCGTTCGAAAAGGCAATGTCAGAATTCTTAAAGCACCTGCTATCGCGGCAACCTTCATTCACTTGTTCACAGACCATCGTTTGGTTCTTCTTGCGGCTGTCCAAGTTCGAAAAGAGAGAGAGAGAGAGAGAGAGGGGGAGAGTAAACCACTTGACATATATAATATACATATTATATAGCTGAACTCAAAAGCACAGTGTAAAGCTGGACACAACCAAACAAGATCTTGGCCATCACTTGATACAAGAAAGCTGGCGTGATTACTGCCTGAGATCTTACTACATAAGGATTTTGCAACCATCTCCATGTTCCCATGGCTGAGCCTGACTTGGATGCCCTCTTTGGTGAAGACAATGCCGAGGAATGCTCCGCGCCTAAGGCCTCCTACTCCCAGAAGACAAGGGTTAGTAATGTAGGCATACACAGCTTTCCGCATAGTAAATGCATTGTATGCCAGCATCCTGAGCTTTGTAGGTACACCCTGCCTTGTTAGCAGCAGTGAAGTCCTTGGCTGCAGAAGCCTGGCCAGTGGCACGGTCAGAGCTGCTGGGAGAATCTGACGCTGCAGCTGTCAAGGTGGGCATTAAGGTGATTCACTAGTGTCAACAGTGCGAAGGTGGCTTGTTACGACCTGCTAATTGATGTTTGCTGACATTGTTTTTTTTGTTGCCTTCCTCTTCAGCCCTTGAGGTGCGGCTTCCCCTTGCGCCCGCGCTGGCGCGGGACGTGGATCTAGCACTGGAAGCCATGAATGCCCAAGATTGGTCGGACTGCGCCTCCAAGGTCTGGGGGACTGACACTTCTAGTTTCAGTCAAACCTCTTGAAGTGTGTTTCTTTTGGAGCTACGAAGTGTCAGTTTGGAGTGGGTGCCGTTGAGCGTTTTGTTGTGAGGGTGTTCTGAAGCTCCTTGACGCACAGCACTGAACATGTGCCCAGGCTGCAGCGATCAGGAAGGAAGCGTGGAACGCTCTGATGCGTGACAAAGGGTGGCAGAGACACTTGGACAGCCCCGGCTAAACTGTGGGCAGACGCTTTAAAACTGAAAGAAGACAGAACTTGTATATATATATATATGTATGTGTATATATATATATGTACATAAATAAGGAGAGGCAAAACATAGAAGGTGTTGGGGCCTCTTCAATAGGGCCCCCGAGGCCCAAACGCAGTTTTTCACCCAATTCAGGACCATGCGACAAAGAACTCTTCATGCTGGTGGAGCTGATACTTGCACTATGTGCACATGCATCTGGCTCTCCTGCCACAGCAGTGCAGCATGCTGATGGTGCCTTCGTTTTTGCTGCAGCCGGTGCATTTCGGTCTTGCGCTCTTCTTTTCATCAGGCTACTGGACGATGATGCACGGAGGGCTTACCAGGCAAAAGCTCTCTGGCTGACCAGATCAATTTTGGTTGCACATATTGTTGGCTGGTTATAGTAGGAGGGCGTGCCTACCATGACCTTGCACAGGGCGTCCGTGTCATCATTTCATGAACGGGGCCAGGTTCGACACCAAGTTTGCCTACACTATCAGTTGACTCTGAGAAGCTGTAAGTTTTTTTTTTAGAAATATATATATAGATATTTTTCATGTTGTTGTCGTCGTCGTCGCCGTCGCCGTCGTCGTCGTCGTTCACCATCAATCGACCATCAATCGAGGAGAACGCTGTGTGCGGATCCTTTCCTGACACTCCTCCTTTGGATGCTTCACTCAGCAGAAGTGATTCCAAAAAACGGCTTGAAAGACGTCCGTCGCCAAGTCCCTGCGAATTGGTAGAGCTGCTGAAGCTCAGGACCTTCAAATCAAAGCCAAATATAGTAGCGCTTTTCTGTTGTTGTCTCTTGCATAGTTTTGGCAGGGGGATAGATGGTTTGAATCTGAGACTCACCCACCAAGTCCAATTGCATCCGTTTCAGGCGGCCCTTTCTTTTCTCCCACCCAGACTGGCCAGCGGCGGCGCGGTGGAAAAGCCTGGCCTATTTGGATGGCAATGTGGGACATCGTTTGATTCCAGCTGAGCTGGGTGCTGAAGTGGGAGCGGCTTCATGGCGGGAGGAGCTCATCCCTTTCCATCGCTTCCTCAAGGAGGGTGCAATTTGGCAGTGGCGCGTGCATCATGTGGAGGGTGTGGGAAAAAGAAGAGTGTTGCAACCATTGGCCATCCCAAATAATATACCGGCATGACTTCTCGTCAAGCCGAGTGTTGACGCAAGAACTCTTACGCAGGATGTCGGTGGTACTATGCCTCTTTCATCCGCTTTGTGTCTGGTTCTTCCACATCTTCCAATCTTCCAATTGCTGTATTTGTCCATAGTGGCCGCAATATTCAACATTTCAATATTTGTTTTGAAGGAGTATTTGGCGCCCAGCTGCTTTGAGCAGACCTCCTCGACTGCTTACTTGGCACAGCATGAACTTTTTGAGCAATGCCCTGTTCTGCGAGCTGACATCCCTGTGCCAAGCTCTTGGCAGGAGGCCGATGCATGTATAGAATTGGTACAGAAGCGTCGGTCTAAAACCCTGAGGAGTCAAAAACTGAAAGTGCTGTGCAGGTGCTTGGGCCACCAACCCGCTGCAATGCATGGATTGGAACGCACTCCACTCTGACACCCTGTCACTGGGATTCTTACGACCTTTGGCGAGAAATTTTGCCTTTCTCAGTTTCGCCGCCAAAGATCGTAACGCGCAGAGTTTCAACCACTTAAAGCACAAGTTATACAGTATATATATATGCTATATGTAATTCTTTTTCCATAGGTCTCACCACCTGTTCTGTCTCCAATTGAGTATGCTTTTAGTTGTTTCAATTTTGACTTCCCTGACAAAGAGAATCATGCTTTAATTGCTTTGATACTCTCTTGCTCACTGATGCATTAGTTTGTGCCCAAATGGCACATATTGAAGAAGCAGCTGGGCTGAGAAATGATTGTTTCCATCGCCCACTACAATCTGTTGCAAGGCTGTCTACAATACATTCCTCCCAAGAGAGTAAGCACACCAATTATTCAATTGAAGAAGCAGTCGAGAAACACAATCAAGAGCTATGGCTATGCATTGCTTTCTTTTAGCCCTATGTCGAGATGCATTCCTCAATAAAGAAACACATTATATAATTTACAGCTGGTACAAACAAAGGATGGAGGTATACAATCACGCATCTTTTTCTCCATTATTGCGTTGAGCACAAGGCAGACACAATTAAAATTGGAGTTATATAATTCATCCAGAGGATACAGTTCACACAGCAATTACAACATGAGTTGATTTTTTGCTAAGGTGTGGGGCGCTCACCCCCCACCTGATAACAATCCTATCCAAAGTAAATTCTTTCAAACTCGGACTTTCACTGCCTACCTGACCTGAATGCCTCATTGTGTGAGTGGTGCTTGCTGAGGACAATTTTCTGGCGCAAGTGCAGGGCTTCAAACGTGTCGCACCTTCACCGGAACGGTTGTTTGACAATGTTTCTATTCTATTTATTGTTTCTACTAGCTTTTGTTATTACTAGTAAGGCCCTTGCTCCTAGTCGCGATGCACTTGTTCCTAGTAGCTTATGGTACTTGATTGAGCAGAACTTCTAAGTTGACCCTGTGAGGCATTGCTCGCTCCGGAGCAAGCATCAAGACTTTACGTAAAGGCGGCCACGGGTACTTCGGCCCAGGGCAACATCTCACCAGTCAACGTGGAGGAAGGGCCTGCAGGGCTCGAGGGCTTTGCGGTTGGAATTTGCTCCTGTGAATCTCAGTGCAAGGACCCTGATTTGGCAAAGTATCCCGAGTTTGCGCAAGCAGAGCCTTGGCAAAAGTGCTGCTCGAAGAGCACAGTGTAGCATTCCACACCACTGAATGCTTGCTAAACGAATCAGGAAGTGCACCTTGTGGACCTGAGTCCTGGTGATGACCTGCGCTCAGATTCTTCATTCTCCGGTTGCCAGAGTAACCAGGTAGTAGCTGCATGGCGCAAAGGTGCTCTTTATGCCAAGTGGCTGGTGGCATCAAGTCCGTGCATTGTCGCCTTCGATTTCGGTCACTTGACTCACTTGACCTTCGAATGGCTGTGCAGAGAGGGAGAACTGCAGTGTTAGCACGAATTGCAGGTCAATTTCTGGTACTGAAAGGCTAGAATTATGCCAGGCGTGTCTGGCACTGCCCATGCACCCGCCTTGTTGAAAAAGATTGCAATGCAATGCTCGGATTGAGTTGGCAACATGATCAACATGGTCAATGATGTGGATATGTGCACTACAAATCTGTCAAGATCGACCTTGCACATCTCGGCCCCACAGCCGGTCCAGCGATTTGCTTCTGACCGGGGCGCGGCAGACTTGGCCAGGCGGAAGATGCTTTTGAGAATTAACTTTGTTGATGAGTTGCTGTTTTTAGTATAATAAAAGAAAATACATACTGTATACAGCTTATCAATCCGACTCATGTGGCTTTCCTTGGCTTTCGCTTTCCTGCGTGAGCTGTGAGGATCTTGGTGGCCATGTCTTCGATTGCAAGAGGCACGTCCAGAAGCAGGGAACCTCCAAGCTTTTTGACAACATTTGATTTTCACGTGGCTGGCTTTTGTGGCAGCCCCTTTCCAATGCCCAGGGGTACTGGCCAGCTTTTGCTTGGTGGTAACTGCGGCGGATAACGATGAGAGGAAGCACATCTCTCAGTTCTGGCTGCCCATGTCGCATGCTCTGTAGATACACTGTATAGTATATACCCTTCCACTTTGATGGCTGGGACACCGAGCGTGTTGTTTGCGTGAGGCTGCAAGCATATGGTGGATGCCCCATGTGGGACAACACTTCCTTTTCAGATGAACCTTCTCCCTTTGGCTGGCCTTTGTCACCGAATGACTGGAGTGTCTCGGCGGAGGAGTTGTCCCGACTTGGGCCTGACATCAACATGGAACTAAGCAGTATGAGGACTTCTCTGGACTCTTGTACTTTGGCTCAGGTTTTGCGGAAGAGGGTGAGTGGCCGCACCATTATTTGGTGCCCAGCTTGGACATGATCCACCCCATGCAGCCTTCGGACTCTCTCTCTCTCTACCTATATGTATATCTATAATGTATATGTACAAACACATTATATATATATATATTATATGCATACATACCTATGTATATAGAATACACATCATATAGACCTATATGTCGGTCCCACGCTAGTTGTGATGATTTTGGCTGAGGCGTGTGGTGGTGTGCGCCAGTCCCCTGTGAACATCCCACTCCACGGTGATACCTGTGGCATTAACAGGACAGGGACAGCACCATGACATTCATATCATGGTCTATCATTTGAATATTTGAGTTCTATGGAGGTCTTGCAGTAAGAGTTCGGCTTAACAGTAGTTCCCGAAATACCTAGAAAGGATACTTGGACTTGGAGACTTTGGTGATCGGTCCTTTCAGGATTGGGGAGCCGGATGGTGCTTTGAAGGACGCGACTAGATACAAGGTGCACAAACTTGCAAAGACACACAGAATGCCGGTTTTGTTTCAATCCTTAATTTTCATTTGTCTCCTTGATTTCAGGTTGTATCCTATGCCAAGGTGGAAGCAAGCAGCTGGGCTGCAAGGGACGATGGCTTTCCTTCCTCTGCTGTCAGTGCAACCAGGAAAGGGTTTTGCAAGAAGCTTAGGTCACTACATGCGGACTGTGAAAGTCATGGATGATTTCGGAACCTTGACCCTGAAAGATGAGTCAGGCAGCCCTTGCAGTGCACTTATCGGGTTCTGTTCCTTCTGCGTCAGTGTAGGCAATGACGTCGTATACGAAGCAATCTCAGCGCAACTCACTGCGCCGAGCATGCACACAGTCGACGGAAAGCATTATGACACTTGGCCTGCAGTGGCAAAGCTTATCCAGGTCGCAGTTACAACGATAATGGGGAGGGATGAGTCACAAATGAGAGAGAGAGAGAGAGACACGGACAGAAAGACGGGGACTTTTTGAAGTTCTTCAAGCACAGTTGTCGAGTCATGCCTCTCCTCTAATCTTGACCATGTCTACCAAAATGAGGCTGCCGAGCTTCTTGTTCTGCACAAGCCCATGGGTGCGCGCGACATGCTTCAGGTGGCTTGGACGTTAGCCACCGGAGCAGCACCTACCTCACTAGAGAGCATAGCGAGTCCCGGAAATAGTCAGCTGTTTGGAGTCATGACGAGTGTGGTGCAACTCACGCACGCCTTTCATCACGCCCTTGGTTGGGTTTGCAGTGTGGTGCACGCCCCGATCACAGTCTTCAATGAAATTCCCAAGGAAGGCGTGATTTTGAGCGTTATGTTTGATGACACGAATGGAACCGAGAGCCCGCTCTTCACGCACTTTGGAGCCCCTGCCGCAGTTTAGCTCACAAACGGTATAATTTCATGACAAAAGTTGTTGGCCCCTCTGCGATAACATATTGTTGATTTAATTTCGAGTTCTAAATCTTTATACAGATGCTTCCGTTTTTTCTGGGATGGATGCTTTTGCTTCGGAATGCATCCCTTTTGGCATCAGGCTTTGCTCCAGACGGCCAGGGACACTCTCCAAGCAAGACCTGGGCTGCCCCTCACTACATTGACGTGGCTCAGGCGAAACTTGCAAAGTAGCGATGACCTTTGCTCCTAGTAGCGTCCTTGCTCCTAGTAGCAAGGCCAGGAGCCCCTACTAGCGTTCTTGTTTCTAGTAGCGGCTTAGTAGCGATGCCAGGAGCCC